CACCTCAGCCTCCCAAAGGCGCGGGATTACAGGCTGAGCCACCGAGCCCGGCTGGGTTTATGTTTTTAGACTAAAAAAAATCAGGAGTCCTCATTGTGGAAGCCTGGTTGTAGGCAGATATAATACAAAGTCACAAAATCAAGTGACCAAGTACAAAGACAAGTCATTGCATCCCCAAATATTAATCATTAACAACTCGCTCTTCTGCCTTATTTCCTTAGAAACTTTACGGAGATAGCTTTAAGCCAAGTCATAATGCCTATAGTAAGACGTTATCTTAGGAAACACAACATTCCAAGCAGGCCTGGGCTGGAAGTATTTAGTATCAAGAAAGGCTTAGACATTTGGTTTATTTATTGTTATTGGTGGGTTTTTTTTGTTTGTTTGTTTTTGAGTAGGGGTTTCTGTTGTCCAGCTTGGAGTGCAGTGGCACATTTACAACGATCACGTCTCATGGCAGCTTTGACTTCCTGGGCTTAGGCGATCCTTCCCAAGTAGCTGGGACTATAGGCACACACCACAAACCCGGCTAATTTTTTTGATTTTTTTGTAGAGACAAGGTCTCGCTATGTTGCCCAGGCTGGACACTCGAACCATTTGTAATGTGCCAAAGCCAAGTTGGAAAACATGCTCCAGAATTCCTTCCTTGCACAGTCTGGGTTAACAAGGACCACATGACCTTGTGTGAGATCTGGAAGGTGGAAATGATGCAGTAACCATATTCATTTTTTTCTTAAAGAAGCAAAGTCTTGCTATGTTGCATAGGCTGGAGTGCAGGGTACTCCAGGTACGATCACTACAGCCTCAAACTCCTGGGCTCACTCCATCCTCCTGAGGCTACGGGCATATATCACCATTCCTGGCCTTTTTATATTTGGGAGGTCAGTGGAAAGAGCGATTAAGTGCCTGGCACATAAGAAGCACTCAATAAATGGTAATTATGACCAGTTTCAGTCTGCGGGTGCAGGCCAGTTCTTCCTATGCACTGTTCTCAGAAGCTGATACCTACCCTACTCCTTGTAGATACCCAGCCGTGCAGCACAGACCACTGGAGGTCTTACCATTTGCCCTTGAGTTTATGTCCAGAAAAAAAGCAGGATCCCTTTAAGCATGAGTATTTAAGTGGCAGTTCAAAATTAGCAGAGCACAAAACTTTTTCACCTTTTCTTGCTCCGACCAGATTCCAAGTTGGTGGGTGGTGAGGATCTAATACCTCAGGACCTGAAAAGACAAGCACTTGACGCTGAAGTTCCTTGGCCCAGAGCATGCTTTAAACAAAAGGCAGCCGCCTGTTGTTAACACACAGGCGAGTTCCCCACCTGGAGAAAGGGGCAGCCCCACGCCCCATGACAACAAACTGTGCAAGTAGCAATGCCACCACAGTTGTGCCTTCTCTCTGTATCCTTTCATCACCTCTCACAGAAATCTCCATGTCAGACACATGGGAGAGAAAGTCTGCAGGCATTATTTCATTACCAGTCTCCCAGGGTACCAGTCTCAGAGAATGTAGTATTCTAATGCACCAAGCTAAAAGGAAAGTTCAAGCCCAGGAAGAGCGGACAGAGCTCCTCACTGCCACTCTCACGCTGTGGAGGGTGTGCAGGTTGCCTCTGAATTACTGAAACCACAAACTTATAGCCAGAAATCTCTCTCTGACTGGTCCTCAAGAGCCCTACTGTGATCATTATTTATTTAGAAAAAAGCATGCATATAAAGGGAATTATTTCATTACCAGGTAACTTAACAACAAAGAAGGAGGAGTGTAACTCAAATCCAGAGATGAAGTAAAGAAGTCAGAGGGAATAAAAGGTGCCTAGAGCTCACATCAGCCTTCTGCAGACTTCAGAGGTCCTCCTGGAGAAAGGGGTAGCCCCACTCCACCTTCTATCATAGTGGGACAGTCAGGACTTGCAGCCTCTGTGACCTCATCTCCTTAGGCCTTCAGTGCCTGTAACGATGAGTATCAGATGAAGTATGCCACTTAGGAAAAGCAGGCTCCATACAGAACAGCGCCAAAGATATGCTTATTTATGTTTACATGCTTATATGTGTTTACTAAAGGGCACAACTAAATTTTCTCTCACAAACTGAGCCTACCTTATAATCAGTAAAAAAGGTGAACTATCCACTGGTTAATGAACAAACAAAACTCTTATTTTTCTGATTGGGTTCATCTTAGCAAAGATACATCATTCCACTACCTTTACCCCAATGTAGATTTCATCTTGTCCCTTAGAGCAAAGAGCAGGACAATACTGTTTCTTGCCACTTTTCTGAAACATTTCTTCAAGTTGACTCCTGCCATGGTATTTTAATCAAAGCAGCATTCCCTAAAATTATTTAAGCAAAACCAAGAACAATGGGAAATCAGGTTTGTTTTTTGGATTTATTTAAAGAACACCAAAAAAGTGCATCTAAATGATTTTTTTTTAAAAAAAGCAATTCGTTTTTAATTCATCATCTGCTGACTCACCAATCCATAGCAGTCTAAAAGGTGGTTCAAAGACATTTGCTGATTTCTACCAAACTGTGTCAGGTGACTGAGTTTGAGACAAGAATATGTGAAGTGTCTTCTGGTGTGGAACGGGCACCCTGCACTCATGCACTCCTCCTCTCCTCTCCCCAGCTCCTAGTGACCCATGATATACACTTGGGAGACAGCTGGCTAGGATCATCTGAGTTTTTGGAATTGTTTTCTTGTTGGTTACCTGCCAAACGTTAACTGGCCTTAGGAACATCCTCAGTCTTGAATTTATTGGAAACATGCTCTAGTCAACGGAGCTTCACACATCAAACAGTTTAGCAAATAAGCAAAATCAACTTTTGCTGTTCATATTTCCTAGATAAGATTGGCGCTTTTAAAGGAAATATTTCATGAAAAAAGACAAAAGCATAAATGAGAAATTAGAGGGGTTTTAGTTATCATTGAAGGAAAAGCGCACAATTTAATCCATTTGTTCCACGGTCAAGAAAACCAGTATAAAAGGAAATGACTTAATTTTTAGGTTTAAGGTGGGTCCTAACCTAATCGTGAATGTCTTTTGCTAAAACCACCATAAAAATAATAATGAATCTAAAATATAACTGCCAGTGCTTTTAGGATTCAAAACAGTGAGATGTTCTGGGTTTAAGCGAATGTTCTTTGGGTTGCCATGTGCATTCCCATGTGTGTTTCTCAAGCTGTGGGAATAGAGAGCCATGTACAATCATGTCCCCCCGTAAGGACTGAAGTTCGACTCCATGTACATATTCATTTTAAGATTTGCTCTAGTTCAATGCTCAAGAACTGGAGGCTGAGGCTGGATGTACCTCCATGGGATGCTGCTTTCAACTCTATCACAATTCACACCAGAACAGAGAAGCTACCAGGTCGGGAAAAGAAAGCGACTGCATTTCAAGCCTGCAGATACAATCCTTAATGCAGAAGAGCAACTACTTATTTGTTAACCCCATGGATTCTCTTTTTAAAATTAAGCTACTTAGTAGTAAAAAGTCAAAAAAATATTTTGCATGATAGAGGAGTGTAAATAAAGTTTCATAAACCAGTATACATATGCTTTATGGGCCAGTAATTTTAAAAAGACCAAAAAAAAAAAAAAAGCTTCATGGATCCTAAATGGATATGTAAATAGATCCAATATTGCAAGAATGAGTCTTAAATTCTTAATAGCAAGGATTAGAATGGAAATAGGAAGCTGAACAGTGGTGGTGCTAGCAGGAAGTTTCAATGTTATTTCCTAAAAGGAGCAGGGAAAAAGCACAATTCTGATTGCTCTTTTCACATTTCAGCATCTCAGAATGTCATCCAAAACAGGAAAAGCAAATCCAGAAACTCCCGTCTGCTCGTGATTACTGCTGAAGGGTGTTTTAGGAATGACAGAATGACTCCCCAGGGACAGGCTGGCTGTGACAGAAACCCATTCTCACTCACCAGGAAGCTGCTAAGGGGGGGAGTGTGGGGTGGCTGAGTCAGCAAGCAAGTGGCCTCTGAGGTTCTGGCTTTCAAGTCTGTGACACTGCTGTGGGACTGAGGGGACACTAACCTCTTCTACTGTGGCTTCTGTTGATTAAAAATGCAACAAGTTGCATTCATAGCACTTCAGTCAGTTAAAAAACAAAACCTCATCCTCCTTCTCCCACCCCACCCACCTGTACGAAAGGAGAAATTCATTAAGCAATTTTTTTTACAGGTTTCTGCAGTGCTGTTGAAGTTCAAATGTAAAACTTAACAGACAGCCCCAAATTGTTAGAATTATTTCAAGGGACCCTGAACTGGATATGAAAGTTGACATAAACTGAAATGAGCTGGACTTAGGCTGTTGGCTCAATCTCTCCACACCAACGGTCATTTCTGCTTTTTTCCACCTGGAGTGGTCCCGTGCCACCCCTCAATGAACCCACTGGGCAGCAGCAGGGTGGCTGTTTGTGGGAAGCTACTGGTTTTGCCTTTTGCTTCCAGAATCACATAGACTATAACAAACTTTACACTAAACACTGTTCAGTCCTGAGTTGGGTAAAAGCCCGTTGAGGAGGGGCCGAGATCACGAGGACTCTCTTCCCTCCTTGGCGTGGCGTCATACGTGGCCTTCAGGTTTCTCTTCTTCCATTGCTTGATTTTTGGTTCCTTTTTCATTGGTGACTCCTTCTAAAGTCTTCTTGCCCATTGCTTTACTGGCCTCTTCCTAAAGAAGAAATACGCAATCAAGAGGGTTAGAGAAAAAAGATGTGAAATGATTTCTGGCTGCTCCAGACTGTAAACAAGAGTGTATTACAATGATTTTATGTAGGTTGTCCAGCTGGGCTGGTCTGGGCTGTGTACCCATAGTTAGAGTGGGTGCTTTCACTTTCCTTTGGTTAAAATGACCAGCTTGCCACATGGATAGCTGTTGAATAATGAAGTTCGTGTGCTAATGGGGCTGGGGAGTTGACAATATTCTCGGTGCCAGAGTACAGCTATGTCATAAGAGAGGCTGCCCTTTCTCTCCTGCCATGTCTGTCAAGTTGGCACCTGACCCCCAGGTGAAGGTCATGATGGTAGGGCTCCTGTATCACCCATTTTCTAGAAAAAGTGGAAGTATTACTTGGAGAAGAAAACTGATGGGTTTATAAAAAATAACAGAAGCTTTAGTACACCCTCAAGGGAACCTATTTTTTTCATGTCTTGCATAGTCATGTGAGGGCCTTACTTGTGCCTTTGGTGGGTGAAACTGCCCTGCTCAACCTCTGGGTCCAAACCAGCCTCAGATGAGATGGAAACTGTTTTTCCTATTCTTGTGTCTCTCAGGTTGTCTCACTGTTCCCACTCTCTGGGCAAGGTCAGCTCTTGATCCACTTGGAGGTGGGTTCTGCACACACCTTTGCGTCCTGCTCTGCAAACTTCTGGAACATGTTGGCGTATACCCTGCGGTCCCGCTCGTTATGCTCCCTGGCCTTCTTCTGGCACATGGAGATCTGCAGTCGTGCAGCCTTATTCTGGGGGTTCACTTCCAACACTTTCTCGAAGTCACCCTTGGCTGACTCAAACTCGTTCATGAGCAGGTGGGCCTCCCCTCTCCTGTATAAGCCTTTCTCATTGGCACTGTCCAGTCCAAGGGCCTAGGAACAAATAGTCTGTATTTTAGAAAGGATGAATTTTAATAAGAAATTCAGTAGTTAAGTAGCTTATCAAAGCTCCCTTGCCAAAGGAGATGGAAAAGATATATTAAAAAAAAATGGGGCTCGGCCGGGCTCTGTGGCTCAGCCTGTAATCCCATGCTTTGGGAGGCCGAGGTGAGTGGATTGCCTGAGCCCACGGGTTTGAGACCTGCCTGGGCAACTTGGCCAGACCTCATCTCTACAATAAATCAAAAAATCAGCCGGGCGTGGTAGTGCGCACCTGTTGTTCCAACTACTTGGAAGGCTGAGGTGGAAGGATCGCCGGAGCCCAGCAGGTCGAGACTGTGGTGGCTGGGAGTGGCCACTGCACTCCAGTCTGGGTGACAGAGTGAGACTCCAACTCAAAAAAAATAAAATTAAATTTAAAAATTTAAAAATGGGGCTCTAGGCCAGGCATGGTGGCACAAGGCTGTGATCCCAGCCAGCACTTTGGGAGGCTGAGACGAAAGGATTGCCTGAGCCTGGGCGATTTGGTGAGACCTCATCTCTACAATAAATCAAAAAATTAGTTGGGCATGGTGGCACGTGCCATGGTTCCAGCCACTACGAAGGCTGAGGCAGAAGGATCACCTGAGCCCAGCAGGTCAAGGCTTAAGTGGTCGTGAGCATGCCACTGCACTCCAGCCTGGGTGACAGAGTGAGACTCCAACTCAAAAAAAGGGGGGAGGAGCTCAAGATAATTCTATAATACTGACCAAAATATACTACTCAAACTAATTTCTGTATTTAACATAATTTCTAGAAAGATCCCAAGGAGATTTGAGAGGGGCTCTTTAAGATGTTCAATTGACAGTTTACTGGAATAAGTAAATGCCCAAGAATGGCTGGAAAAAAATTGAAAAAATAAAAGAAAAGAGAGACTTGAGAAAAAGGTACATGAAAAAACACTGAAATTAAAACAGTTTGGCTACTAGCATACAGACAAACAGCTCAGTGGAACAGAACAAAGCATTCGGAAATAGTCATATGTCTGCTTATTAGAACATTTACTAATGACAAAGATGGGGACGTAAATCAGCAGGGACAGGACTAGCCTTGCAATAAATGGGACCAGCATAGTGGCTGTCCACATAGAAAATGAAAGAATTAATTTCTTACCTCACATCACAAACATAAAAATAAATTCTAGACCCGTTATGTTAAAACCATAAAAATATATCAGAGTTATTTTTATAATCTTAGGGTGGGGGAGATTTTTCTAACCAGAAAGGAAAACAAAGATTTGACTGTAAATATTAAAACTTTCTTTACAGAGGAAGATACAATCAACAAAGTTAGAAAAGAAATAAGAACAGCCTTCCTACAGCCAAACAAAGGGTTAACAGTAATACTATATGACTGTTTCAATCTATAGAAGACAGACAAATAATCAGGTCAAAGGATGTGCCTGGTCAACTCACAGAAGAAATACAAATAAAGGAAAGATGTGCAACTTTATTAGTAACCAAGAAAAAAAAATAGGGCTTCTTGTTGCCAAAAAACAATAATGACAAAAAAGAAAAAATACTGATAATCTTCAGTGGTAATATATTCTGTATTAGAACTGTAAATGTTCGTGTCTTTTGACCTAGTACGTCCATTTCTAGGGAATTCAATGTATGGAAACAATCCCACAAGTAAGCAAAGACAGATGGCGTATAACTTGTAATATTCAAAACCTGGAAATCTTGTACCAAAGGAGATCAGTGAAACTATGATAGGCCAGGTGTGGTGGCTCACACTTTTAATTCCAGTGCTTTGGGCGGCTGAGGCAGGAGGACCATTTGAAGCCAGGAATTCGAGGCCAGCCTGGGCAACATAGCAAGATCCCACCTCAAACAAACAACAAAAAACAAATTAGCCAGGCACTAATTGCACTACCGCACTGCAGCCTGGATGACAGAGTGAGACCCTGTCTTCACAAACAAACAACAACCAAAAAAAAAAACAACCCACAAAAACACATTATGATAGATAGATGCATACAATGGATCTTAATCAATACATTATAGATCTTAAAAATGAAGGAGAGCCGGGCTCGGTGGCTCAGCCTGTAATCCCGCGCCTTTGGGAGGCTGAGGTGAGTGAATTGCCTGAGCCCGCGGGTTCGAGACCCGCCTGGGCAACTCGGGGAGACCTCATCTCTACAATCAATCAAAAATTAGCTGAGCGTGGTAGCGCGCACCTGTAGTTCCAGCTCCTTGGAAGGCTGAGGCGGAAGGATCGCCAGAGCCCAGCAGGTTGTGGCTGCGGTGGCCGGGAGCGGCCACTGCACTCCAGTCTGGGTGACAGAGTGAGACTCCAACAAAAAAAAAAAAAAAAAGAAGGAGAACTACATGAAGAACTGATAACACACGAAAGGATGTCTTATAAAGCTCTATTTGCATCTAAATCTATATGTTCTCATTTTAAAAATATACATAGCCAGGCAAAGTGGCATGTGCCTATAATCCCAGCTACTCAGGAGGCTGAGGCCAGAGGATTGCTTGAGGCCAGGGGTTTGAGGTAGCAGAGCGAAAGGACTGTGTCTGTGAATAGACACTGCACTCCAGCCTGGGCAAGAGAGATATATATATACACATACGTTACTCTAGGTATGGAAAAAAAGGAAGAAATATGTACAAAATTAATGACTAGTCTTGGGAGAGAGGGTCAAAGAGAATTTGCAAATGTAGTTTCACTTTCTTGTACATTTCTATACTATTTGAATTGCTATATTACTTTTATACCAAAAAAAGAAGCATAACATTTTATCAATGTAATTAACAATAATATTCCTTTCTTAGGCAAAAATTTAGTGTGATGTTATAGAAAAACAACTGATCCACAAAACTAAAAAATAATCTCACAAATAATATACAAAATTGTTGCCTTTTGTTGTTCTTATCCCTTTACATCCGCCTGTAAGATGCACCCAATGATTAGCTTTTACCCATAGTGTAACATACACTGTTCATGCTGAGCCCAGATGCTTGAAACACTAGTCAGCATCAGCTGGTGTAGAAATGTATCAGAATAGCACATGCAATCAAACACTGCTAAGGAGCACTGTAAGTTTCGTACTCAGAAATGGTAATAGTCACATAAACATAAAAATAGAGAGGGCTGTTGATGCTCTGTGGGTCTTTCAAATCATTTATGATCAGAATAAATATGATTATAGTAAAAAGTATACTGTATATATGCTTTATATGAACAGTTAGTCTGTTGTATTAAAGTCCAGAAAGTATAAGTTGAAATTGCTCTTATGAAACTAAATCTGAGGAGTTACATGTCTAATTTGATACAACTACCACAGGTATAAGAAAGGTCATGAAAAAAATAATTTGTTAAAACTGTTATTTATAATGTATTATGATAAACAGGTCAGGTATCAGGAAAATTCGACTGTCATCAAAATCTTTCTGAATCTCCCAATTCCTGAGAAACAATCCCAAACATACCAATAAATAAAACAAAGCAAAATGAAAAACCCTAAGAGGGAGACGACAAGAAATCACTTACTGAGTACAATGTGCACAGGTGGGGGTGGTGGGTGCTCTTAAAGCCCAGACCAAAAATGATTTGTTCTCCCCAAAGCTGTTGAAATTTTAAAGATAGAGTAGAAAATAAAATTTAAGAGGACATTATAAAAATAAAACAAAAATTTAAAAACCCTCCAACCTTTGACTGAGAGGAAGCAAAAGAAGATGGGGATAGAGAAAGATCTGGAATAGTTCAAGGCCAGCGCACACGTGACTCTACCTTATCGCAGCACTCGACGGCTTTGGTGTACTCTCTAAGCTTCAGGTAGCACATGGCCAGGTTGAGAAAGGCGGCGAGCAGAAATGATTCAGAGGCTTTCGATTCCTTTTCTGATAAACCATATTCCATCTCCAACCAGGACACAATCTTCCCATACTGAATCACAGCCTGCATGTACTTACCTCCCTAGGAGAAAAAAGGCAGCGATTACTTGCACTGGACTCTTGAGGGGGAAAAAAACCAAACCCTCAAGCTGAAGCCAGCTCCTGCAGAACCTGGCACGGATGGCTTCTCCTATTCTCCGGGGGCTCTGCAGGCGGCTCTCCTCTCCCTCAGAAGCTCAGGGTCTGTGAGCTCAGGATAGCACCAGCTCCACAGAAGCTCAGGGCATTTTTCTCGATGTGCATCCCGGTTCGGGGATACATTCTTTGGTATTTAGCCCCTTACTCTTTCAAAAAGGATTGTGAGCAGTTTTACACTAGGCCACTAAAAAAGTGAAGGGAATGCTTCTTTTCTTTTTTCTTCTGATGTTCAGTACTGCACGGTAAATACTACAGTCTGGCAAGTCCCACACATAGTACATTTTATTTCTCTAAACTAATCTCTGCTTCAACTACTTAATTCTGTCATTTGTAATGCGAAAGCAGCTCCAGACAATATGTAAATAAATGGGTGTGACTGCTCAGTAAAACCTTACTTACAAAATCAGGTAGTAGGCCAGAGTTGGCCCACACGATGTAATCTGCTGACCTGTGATTGATAGGCAATGGGAATATACATAGTTGACTAGACATATAGCACAAACCACAACTATAAAACAACATAAGTCATACAGGCGTGCCAGCTAACTGTGAGAAAAATCGTGCTCCTATTCATATTTTTGTCCTTATTGATAGAATTCTAACAATTGTAACAATCACATAAATCTATTATTTATATATCTATATCTATCTACACTATACAAGTAACCCTGGGCTGAAACAATGTGCTTACTGCCATTTTAAGATAAACAAAAGAACGAAGTGATAGCTGATAAATACACAGAATAAGAGCACAGGTGAGGGTTCTCCTTTGCAGGAGGTAATTATAACCTCCAAAACACAGATGTCACATCCTACCAGACAGCAGAGGAGCAGTCAACCTATTAGGACATTAATTCAAAGTGTGACCAATGACCAGTGTCAACACCAGAATTTCTCCATTGGAACTGTCTCGCTCCACATTCACCCCAACCCTCACCCGATGACTTTGAATAATAAGAAGAAAGTCAAGGAGAAGGTCTAACAGAATGTTCTGGTCACACAGGACTTCACACGGGTGGCACGAGGAATGAGCAACACCTGAAGAAAGGAAGCCCTGATGGTGATTTTTCCGGGGACGAGGATGGGCAGACTGTTTCAGCTGGAGGGCTGGGTCTGAAGGAGGGCTGTACTGCCTCCCCCAAACATCCTCCCTCACTTCCTCACAAGTCACTCATTTAGGAAAGGAAAACTCAGAGAGCTCACTGGCTTTGCTGTAGAAAGGCAGTGCAAAAGTATTCTGAGGTGTTATAAAGGGTAAGGGCACTAAATCAGAGTGTTACCCTCTTCCACCTCAGAAATGCGTGATACAGGTTATTTATAATAAAAGGTAACCAGGCCCTTTTAATACAGCTGCTGAAACTCGGGAGAAAGTTATATTTGCTATGAACTGAATTGTGTTTCCCTTCCCAAATTCATATGATGAAGCCCTCACCCCAATGTGCTGACATTCAGAGACAGAATCTTTGGGAAGGGAATTAGGTTTAGGTGAGGTCATGAGGGTGTGGGATCAGAGCCTTTCTAAGAAGATACACCAGAGAGCCTCTTTCCTCTCTCTCCACCCACATGGACCTGAGGAAAGGCCACTGAGGACACAGTAAGAAGGGGGCCATGAATAACGCAAGGAGGGGCCTCACCAGACACTGACTCTGCTGACCCTTGATCTTGGACTTCCAGTCTCAGAAATAAATTCAGTAAGAAAAAAGCTCTTATTGTTTAGATCACCTGAGCTGAAGAAGACAATACTTAATTAATACAAAATGTCACTTAAGCCTATTGCCTCCTTTTTGGGGTACTGCAAAAAAATGAGAATGAGAATGAAGTCCTCAACAGTTACTCTAGCTGGATTTGTAAGCTCTTTTACGACAAGTAGTATGTCCTATCTCTTTTGGAATATCTAAGGTTTAGGATGAAGAGGTCCTTAATAAAGGTTTGCTGTGTAAATATTAAAGTCAAAGGAATGTGACCTGGAAATGAAAATTGCTATTGCTGGGTGCAAAAATGGAGGTGTGAGTGGAAACAAAAGGATGTCATTTAGATTAGGTAAGAAGGACAGGTATTGCCCCCAGTTTCTTTACTCTCACCTCATTCATTTTCAACATACCTATTAAGTTTTCTATCTCCTAATTATTGCCATAGGGAAAGAAAAGAAGAGCCAGGGAGGACAAGGGCCTAGATCTTCTTGCTTCAGTAAGTTCTCAATAGTCAGAACAGTAGAAGGTTATGGTTTCTAGAAAAGCAAATATAGATTTCTTAATAATTATCTAACATTTATAGAGCACTTTAAATTTTTGGAAAGCTCCTTCATATATATCATATGTAACTTTCTTTAAACCTCAACTTCCAATGAGTAAAATCTGTTTTGTGGAATTCCTGCTTCTGAGGTACTCAAGATATTCTCAACTGGGGGCAATTTTTCCCCATGGGGACATCTGACAATGTTTAGAGACATTTTTATCTGTCACAACTTTGGGGGGAGGTTACTACTGGCATCTAGTGGGCAGAGGCCAGGGATGCTGTTAAACGTTCTACAATGCACAGGACAACCTCCACAACAAAGAATTATACAGCCTCAAACGACACTTGTGCTCAAGTTGAAAAATCCTGCACTAAAAGAATGAAGAAGTGTGCACTTGTAGTCTCAGCTATTCAGAAGGTTGAGATGGGAGGACGGCTTGAGCCCAGTTGGTTGAGGCTGCAGTGAGCTGATTGTGCCACTGCACTCCAGTCTGAATGACATAGCAAGACCCTGTCTCTAAAGAATGAAAGAAAGAGATAAAAGACAGGCTGAGTTGTTCTTAGTTTTTTTTAGCCCCAAATCCTAAAGTCATAGATGGCTTGTTTCTAGTATCGTGGTTCAGCAAAGATGGTGAAAACTGCAAAGCTCTGTTTGTCTGAAAAGGGTTCCGTGGTTGACTAACTCTCCTTCACAAGCTCGCTTTAGAAATGCTTGCTTCCCAAGAGAAGCACAAGGGGGCGCAAGAACCCCACATCACTGCAGTGTCCTCAGTCTTCTTAGCATGGCTGACAATCAGAAAAAAGAGAACCACTCCCCAGGTGTGACAGTTAACGCTCTGTCCTGCAGAATACCGTCAGCTATGAGGGCAAAAATCCTGTCTGTTTACTGGTTTGCACAATGCCCTGCAAAATATCATGTTGTTGCCTGCACTTAGTAATTATTCTCAGAGACAAACGAGTCCTCTCTTCTTCTCTTCAGTGTTCACAAGTTGAAATGTGGATTTTACAGTCTAAATGGCAAAATCCTTCCCATTTAAAA